GACTGGAAGCCTTTTAAAAAGAGTGCGAAGGCTGGCGATGAGCGGTATACATTAATTTTTGTGGTACTAACAATACATTTTTTTAAGAAAACTAATCCCATGATGTTAGTTTGAAAAATTACCTAACTCTGTATGCAAAGCGAAATGAATCGTGATCATAAATTAAAATCTGTGAAAGGTTTGAACCCAGGAGTCATTTCAAAAGTAGGTTGAGTTTGATCGTCCGGGTGAGCGTAGTCCTGAATCGAACTGTTGTTGTTGACAGTGACTGACGTTTCGACAACCTGTGCGGTAGTCATCGTCAGAGTCAAAGTGAAAGATCTCGATGATCTTACGGAAAAATAGAGGACTGTGAAGTCTATTTCATCAGTAAAAAAAATCCTTTTTACATCTAATTTTCAATATTACTTACAAAATGGATACTTACAACAAATGTACTTCCTAAATGTCGTAGCAGATTCTTTCTTACTTACAGATCGAGTGAAAAAGTGTATCTATTATTGAAATTTGATATATTAACAATCAGCTAGTAAACTTATAAAAAAAATCTCAAAACTTAATTTCTCACTCGCTGATACAAAAGAGAGCTACAGTCGAACCTCCCGTTAGCGACCACTCAAAATGCAAAGACTTAGTGGTCGCTTACAAAAATCCAACCACCGGGGGCGTCTTCCGAGAAGAGGTCCAGACACATCTACTTTGTGGAAGATAAATTAATTGCATGCAATGTCTAAGTTGCGCTATGTGTAGTTCCATGCTGTTACTAAAGTTCTTCGTATATTCTTAGTAGTATAGTGCACACAGCGAACATAGAGATCACGGAATGTGTCAGACCCAAAAAGTGGTCGTGGTCGCTTGCAGGAGGTGGTCGTTTATAATACTAGAGGTTCTAACTGTAAGGCTTTGACTTGGAAAATTTTGGTGTTTTGGATTGGCGGTCGCTTATGGGAGGTGGTCGCACATGGAAGCTCGACTGTAGTTAAGAAAAATATAACCTCGTATTTGCTAAATGGTACTTTCTGCAGTTTCGGTGTCAATGTCAGCATTGTTAATGTCAAGCTGAACTCCTCTTAATCAATTCGGCTTGTGATCCATGACATAGTTTTGGCATACTACTCCCCTTTCTTGATGGCAATCAACTCCTCTTATCAACTCATGTGGTACCTCAAGCATTTTTCCCATTACGCCAGTTGTGGTGCAGACCAAAGGTGTAAATGCTCCATACTCAATGCCGAGAACTCTCCTTGAGTACAGAGGCTTTTTACTCGTTGTCATGCGTACGAGAAATCTGTTGCGGCTTTTAANCGCTTGCAGGAGGTGGTCGTTTATAATACTAGAGGTTCTAACTGTAAGGCTTTGACTTGGAAAATTTTGGTGTTTTGGATTGGCGGTCGCTTATGGGAGGTGGTCGCACATGGAAGCTCGACTGTAGTTAAGAAAAATATAACCTCGTATTTGCTAAATGGTACTTTCTGCAGTTTCGGTGTCAATGTCAGCATTGTTAATGTCAAGCTGAACTCCTCTTAATCAATTCAGCTTCTGATCCATGACATAGTTTTGGCATACTACTCCCCTTTCTTGATGGCAATCAACTCCTCTTATCAACTCATGTGGTACCTCAAGCATTTTTCCCATTACGCCAGTTGTGGTGCAGACCAAAGGTGTAAATGCTCCATACTCAATGCCGAGAACTCTCCTTGAGTACAGAGGCTTTTTACTCGTTGTCATGCGTACGAGAAATCTGTTGCGGCTTTTAAGTTTAGGTCCTTTTACGATTCAGGATTTGGGTAACAGACCCTGACATAAAAGAATGCCAATCGTTGGTACTCACAGAACCCTCGTACATGGATATCCAATCAGGCGTCGTATATTAGTCCACGGGTCTTCTAGTGTCCTAAGTCTTCGTTTTAGTGCCCTGGACTTTTCGTTTAGTCCAGGGGGCTTCCTGTTAGTCAGTGGGTCTTCGTTTTAGTCTAGGGATCTTCGTTATAAGTCCACTTAAGTAGTATAGGATGCATCGGCTCGATCCTTTTTTGCGGAGCAATGTCAATGGCTTGCGGAGAAAGACAAAAACGCCGATATAAAATGTCATAGCCTTTTGTCTTTATTTCATCAATAAAATGCGGGAAATCTCAGCAGTTTGTGAATAAAATACGGACGTCATTTGCAAATTTTAGGCGGTTTAACCCGTTGGAAAGGTGTTTTTAGTTCAGTGTTAGTTATCCAGGTCGATAAATGTCTTGCCTTTATAATTAATTGGTTAACTAAGCATTTAGAAAAGTATTCATTGATTGATTCATATCGTCGAAGGGATAAGTGCTCAGTCTCAGAACCAAACCAAAAAGGTGAAGAAGTGGATGAGGAGAGATACTGTCCCTATCAAGAGCCATTTACAAGCAGAGGAAAAAGTAGACAATGAGACCTGAAAGCAAGCAACAAGATCTTACAAAGAACCCCCATGGCTCATGCAAGAACCAAACACATTAAGATGTCTAACAAACGCCATCATTTTGTTTGCGAAGGACTACAAAGAGGAACAAACAATCTGAAGTACGTCCGTTTTGATGGGATAGTCGCAGATATTCTGATCCACTGGCAAAAAAAGTAAGCATTGTAATTTTTACAATTGGTTTCAACGTTTACAGATGTAAAGAAGTGAACCGATATATATTCAGACAATGAACTTGTATCACTTTTTCAGAGTATTTCATTTCGTTACTTCTGTTGAAGACTGTATGTTTGTCGTGTTTTTCGTTGTGGATTTCAAGCTCGCCGTTTTCATAGCAGAGAAAATGCTAAAGATAAAGGAGGATGAGGGAGGACAATAAAAATAGTGGAGGAGAAAGAATTATACAAATAAGGAGGTATTAAAAAATGAGGAAGAGGAAGAAGAATTGTGGTGGTGTAAAGAAAACAATAAAAATGCGGTGGTGGTGATGTAGCGAAATCCATAGAAATCTGGTGATAGCGGTGGAGGGAAACAATAGATATGTGGCAAAGTAAAAAGGGAGGAGGGTAAGTAAGAACTTCTGTTTTGACTTGGAAAGACCTACAGTAGTTTCCCTTCGTCTTCATTAATATTCCCCATTAAGCTCCAAGAATCAATGAACAGAAACTGGAACATTTTGTTGGACAATGAAAGCAGCAGGAAATAGAACTTGGATAATTAGGTTGCGATTCAGTTATAGACGAGTAAGTGCTTATTCGTTCGACATCACGAATCAGTCAATGGATCAGCTGATGGATACTTTTCTTAGTGCTTATTCAACCAATCAAAAAGAAATTGTAAATATGTTATCATCCACTCTCTTCAGGGCTTTTCAGCGAGAATTTACAACACTGGTTGGAGGACTTTTGCTAGCAGTCTGATGCTGCTTATGGTCCGGTTTACATAGTAAGCAAGGCCATGCCATCTCTCATTTGAGATAGGCCACCACACCGGGGACTCTTTACAAACAGTGAATGGGTCCAATAACGTCCCACAAAATTTAGTATATATGCAAGGGTAGTGTGACGTACCTAAGGTTTGTCTTCCATATCTGAGAAGACTACAAAGTCTAACCGTTTGCAGATGTCACTACAAAAGCAACACTTTCTCTTCAGTTATTTAATTTAAAGACGCTAGGTGTGGAACCAGTCGGGGTTTGAACCAGGTTGAAGGAGATTGTCGTTTATTTCGTCATCGTTTACTAAGTCGTCGTTTCATGGACCTTTGATCTCGCTTTCCAGACATCCTGAAGACTGTCATACTGTCAATGATCCAATTTATTTTGCATAGTTGCAGTAACTGTTAATTTTACCTTTCCAGATTAAAAACGAAGATAACAAAATCACGTGAATATGACAAATAAAAAGAATCATTTTTTAAGCACAAGTTATGTTCATTTTTACAGGATACATTTTGTGGAATCTCTAATAATAACTATACAAGCATTGCTGGACAATCAAAAAACATGATTAAGAACAGCTATACTTCTCTTTTATATTTATTTACTTATTTACTTAATTTAAAAGGTAAATTTGAGGTATTATATAACCTTTATTTTAAGAGGGTGACACCAATTACTATGAAAAGTATTCTCCCCAGTGGCCCTCTAAAAACAAAATGGATAATAATAAATTACAACAATCATGATAAAAAGTCTTTTAAAAATTCTAGAGATTTAAAAAATTGAGAGATGTTAATAACGGAAGTGAATACATTGGTAAAAAAGGGAATCCAATCTACAATGATATTAAAAAAAGCACGGATTTTTTAAAAATCAGAATAACTTTTTAACTTTAAAATTGTCCACCGTATAGTTTGATTATTAGTCAGTGTTGTCTTCATTAAGCTAAAGGAGATGGTTGGTTCTAACTTAAGAGCATTTAGTTCTTCAATAGTGGAATAAAATAATGTTCTCATTGCTTCGCTGCTTCGGTTCTTGGTTTCGGTAAGCAGTATAATGTTTTTGTTCTGGTGGAATACTTGTGTTCAAACCGAAGTGAGTCCAAGATTGTAATTCCGGTGGTAATATTCCGGTGCTCTTCCATCTATAACTTTCTTTAAAAGAAAGAAAGATAGAAAGTGACAGAACTATGAAGTTCAAAATTAGTATATATTTTGAGCAAATAAAGTGAAAATAAAAAACAGACACAATGAAACTTTCCATTTGAATGTGCTCCAACAAATTAAAACGACTGATAAAAAATCACAGAAGTGAATAACCGACTAGTTTGCAAGGAAAAAAATTGTCCTCACCCACAAAATTAACCTGCTAGACAAATCTAGTGACACACACAGTGTTAAACCCTCTATTTTTGAATAACTATACCAACATGGGCATTTACCATTAACACAGGCTCAAAATCAATGGGAGGCTTTAGGTTTCATAAGATAACATAATGCAGTGAAAAGCTAACATTCCACAATGAAATGAAAAATTGAACATGCAGTGCAATAATACATGTACATACGTTATTGTTTATATTAAATAACATCTCTTCACAAAATAAATCTATCAAATGGTTACATTTTTATCACCATTATTGAAAAACTCTTCATTATTTTGTTCCAAGAGCTCAAGAACTTCATCCGGTTGACGTCCTTTTCGTCCTTCCTCTTGTTTCTGACTCCGCTGATACAGCATTCCAGCAAAGACACTGTTGCGCTTAAAGTACCGACCAGTTGCCCAGATTAACAGGAATGTGACAACTGTCAAGACACTGATTACAAAAGCACAGGCCATTAATGAGCATGGTCCCACCTTATTCCCTATTGTACTACCCACAGCCAGCGGAATCAGCATCTCACCACAGCTGGAGGCCACCACAAGAACAGATGCTGTCCTTCCTGATACAGTTAAAAAGTACTCTGCCCAGCTCAAAGCAGTAGGAAAGACTGACGCCATTGAAACTCCCAAAATAACTGTCCCCACCCACAGCTTTGTCGAGTCTGCAGCACAACAGTCGCCATCCTTAATCTGTGAAATAAGTACTAGTGATCCTAACACACAGCCCATTAAGTCTAGAAACAGTATCTTGGACGGTCTGAGGTACCTTGAGATGGGCACTGCTGCAAGCCGTGCCAATGCAAAGCTTCCCCAGAACCCAGATGTTAAAAATGCCGAACTGTCCTTGCTCATTGTTTCATTACTTGTGTAACCATAGGTAAAGATATATCCGGCGTATGCAACCTCAAGACCCACATAAAGCAGAAGGAAAACAGAAAATAGTGACAGAATGGTGACTCTGTACATTAAGCTACCCTCTTTGGTCTTTGGAGCATCCTCATCCTTGTTATCCTTGTCCTGTAAGCTGCATGATTTGATGAAAACAAAGACTAAGAATCCAACACCAGCAATAGCAAGAGGAATTGAGCTGATCCAGTATGCCCATATCACAGGAAAGGTACTGCCATCTGTTTCATTGAGGGTGGTGCTGAAACAGTAACATCTGGTGTTTAATGTCTCGTTACTTAAACACTGACTGCTGTTGCTGCAGTAAGCCCATGTCACACTGTTACTGTCATTGCCAGTGCTATTGGTATCATTTTTTGAAGGGTAGGTACTCTCTTGAAGGAATGGTTGAACTATGAGCGGAGCGAAAAATGCACCAAGGGCAAACACAAAGTGGAGAATTTGCACATATGGCCGTGATTTCTTGCCCCATGTACTTAGCAGAAGTACATTTCCACCTGAAATAAAATAAAAAATAAAACAAATTATTGTCCACAGATAAGAACAGTCATTGACACGGCAGCACATTACACCTAATAGTTCACTAGACTACCAATGATTTTGTTACAAATAGTTATGGCGAATCCTAAGACTCAACTTGACAGAAGTCATGAGTCCCTTTCCAAAACCATTGAGTCCCAGTTAGAAAAATAACAAGTCACCGCAGGTCTTAATGTAACCACACAGTCAGTCTAAGGACAGACTCCAAAACTCTGTATCACAGTTTACTGATTAGAAATAAAAATATACTCCTTCTATTGTCAAGTACAACAAAAACTAAAAGAAATATGAGATGTTAAACGACATCCACAAGAACAGCCACAGAAATCACACACACAGGATATTCTACAAAAACATCTTGAGATCAATCAATCGATCTTTGCATTCTACTGGATGCATGCACACCACAAATTACTTTGCGACTTTGGGAATTTTATATATCAGGGATGCAGGACGCAGAGGTAACAAATCACTGACTACAGTACACTTACACTGCATTCTTAAGTCAGCACAAAGGCAACTCCGAAATAACTTTGTTTGAAACTCTTCATCAAGGCATTCACTAATATTTCAAGTTGTTGGATAAATAGAGGATATTAAATGGCCGCATGGGGATACAAATTTTATCTTTGAGTTTATCTCACTCGTTTGCTTTGCTCACTCGTGAGAGATACTTTCAGCACAAGAAGATAAAATTCGTATCCCCAAGCGACCATGTAATGTTCTGTTTATTTTATAGATACTGATGAAATTCCTACATAAAACACAGCTTTTTTTTAATCATTTTCGAAACGGCAAAATAGTGCAATTAAAGTGGTCACCTATCACAAAATGCCTGTCACAAAAATGTTATGAAACTTGGATATAAAGTTATAAAGGAATCCTCACACGTGAAAGATAAAAATAGTATCTTCACTGCGCACGATGAAGATATGATTTTTTTAGTAAAAGGAAAAATCCTAGTATTTCATCAGTATCTATATAATAAAATAAAATACACACAAGAAGACAGGGAATCAAGCAGCTCTGCATTTCTTTCTCTTTTATTTTTTCTCTATTTTCATATAAATGAAGCCACGGTTAAGTTCCTTGTAGCCAAGGGAAATTCCCAGCATCCGGCCCTTAATAACAGTACTGCCTTATGTAAACCCAAAGGCAAGGGTGACTTGGTCAGTCACAAGGCTTGTATTTAAAAGGGCTAAATTATCTTCAAGTGACAATTAAAACACCATTGCTCTACTCATATGTAATAGAATTCAGTTTTTTTAAATGCACATAAACACGCGCATGTTACTATGCATGTGTAACACAATTCTACATAAATGAAAACCTGATTTAACTGCTCCTCAAGCCTAATTTTAAAACAATTATGAATTATTAATCGCTTTCCACTAAGCCTAGACAACTAATAGTCAGGGTTTGCAAATTTTAATTGATGAGTGGAGTCACTGTGACTTCTGCTTCACAAATTTTGCAGTCATTTTAGAATATTTGGAGTCAAGTATCACAACAAAAAAAGCCATTTTCAGACTTTCCAGCACGTGGTCCTGGCATGTATACACTATCGTGAGGGATACACGAAGTAGCTGTGGTGGTCCGCTGACCTGGAAAGTTCAAATCCATGACGGCGGTCATCGAGTAAACTCTGCTCGTAATTTACCCTCTTCCTAGTTTGTTGTGCAGTATAATTCTTTAATTTTGATGATTTAATTAAGGTTTACAATGTTTACAATTAACGTAAATTGCATTTGTTGTGAAAAAGGTAAGGACAAAACTGTGTTTGTTACCGAAAATTTCTGGAGTCAAAGTGGCTCCCTGTTTGTTACCGAAAATTTTTGGAGTCGAAGTGACTCCCTCTGTAACCTCTGTGGAGTCATCTGAACAATTTTGGCGTATTTGTGAACCCTGTAATAGTTCTTGCAGCGCTAAGGTCAAGTTGACGAATTTATGCATAACTACAATGATGTGGTACACTTTTATACTTGGTTTAAATATAATTTTTCTTTGTTTTGGGGTATGGTAATTATGTATAATTAATGAGTTTGAAACAAAGGCAAAGAAAATTTGTACCGAGGATAAAACTGAACCATAACATTGATACTGTAGTTTTATACCCACATTATTGCTCAGGTATGAACTCCATGAATATGCCCTAAAACTGATATTACATCTAAATAACTGGAGTGTGAATTCATTGTCTCCTGTATGTACCTGTATTGAGAGATCCAAGGCCCACTCCCAACAACACAGTAACAATAACCAATCCCAGCAGAGATGTGACATATGGCAAAACCATCATCATTAGAGTGCCCCACACACAGGACAGTGCTAACACGACATGGCCATTATACTTTTCATAAAACCATCCACCAATAATGCTGCCTGTGAGGTAACCAAATGCACGTGAGGTGAACACATATGACATACGCTCCAGTTTGGTGGAGGTGTGGCACATCAGCTCCAAAAGCGTAGGCCCGAGGATGGCCACACATGATCCCTATGAGATATTGAATAATTGTATGAGGCTTATTGAAATAATTATTATTAGGGAGCTTCAGCAAAAACATTTTTGAGAGACACAAGTTGACTGGAAGTGTAAACATTTTGCATTCTTGGGCATGAAAAAACACATTAACCAGAAAAAGTGTAGCAGATGTCTGTCTCATTGATTGTGGTTCCAGCACAATATGGTAGTATCTAGAAATAATTATCTGTTATATTTATATTCCTTACTAAGCAATAGACCGATTGCAAATATGGCGACAATCTCACCAAAGCGAGGCTTTTCGGTAGCAACCGTTGCTAAGGGCTGGTCGCTTGTTTATATGCTAATGCGAGTCTGTTATCTTGTTGTTTTTTCACTCTGGAAACAATAAAAAACTTTCAAGAAGAAGTCATTGTCAGTTCGTTGTGTTAAAATAAAGGTCAGTGCTTTTTACTTTGCCTCTGCTATACAAATCGGAACGTAGATGATAGGAAAAATCACGATTGCGATGTACTTATATGAACTCATATTACATTTCCAACTTTGAACTTGGAACTTCTTGAAAATGTTTTAGACTCAGTTTCACCGTATGTTCTTTTTACCGAACAGTACTAAGTTCATAATGGATAGGTCTGTGGAAAGGATGCATGTGAAGGAATTAAAAGAAATTCTTTTTAGGAAGAAAGTGAGCCTGAAAGGATTAGCAGTGAAGGCCCAACTTGTTACAAAGTAAGCAGCGTTTCTAACCCTCTGTTTTATATGATTAAATACACTTGAAAACTGTGTAATGCACCTTTTTTAGGAAGAAAGTGAGCCTGAAAGGATTAGCAGTGAAGGTCCAACTTGTTACAAAGTAAGCAGCGTTTCTAACCCTCTGTTTTATATGATTAAATACACTTGAAAACTGTGTAATGCACCTTTGTCTTTTGTCTCATTATTTTTTTCTAAGTGATTGCAAGTTTAAAATTAGCGTTTCTCATTGATTTTTTGGTGCAGAGTGAAGGAAGTACTTCAAATGTGTACACATGATCGTGGGCAAAATGATCAAAATAATCAAGCGACCGCATGCGCCACTGCATTTCGTGCTCAAAGCAAAAAGAGCTACTCAGATCTTGTTAGGGAGAATGAGGAAAAGTTTAGATTTTGTCCTTCTGAGAAGAATATGGATAAAGTACTGGACCATCTTCCTCCATTCACATATAACACCATTGTGAAATTTGTCCGAAACTCCGGTAAAAACATTCAGCATTCCCCGGACTACATGGTACTGAAGCCGTTTGAAGGTGGTGTCAATTTTTTTTTTGAACAATACCTTCATAATGTCGGTGCCAAGAATCACAAAGAGAGCAAAACCTTTTATTTCAGAGCCCTTTGCTACCGAAGTCTGTGGAAAAGTGAACCCCCACATAAAATAAGATTATAGCAATCCGCTTAACCGAGCAACCTTACGATGTACTTGCTTCACGGCCTGCACCTGTGTTGCTGGATCTTTGGGGTTTTGTAATCATGCCGTAGGCCTAATGTATCTAGTTTCCCACAGCAACAGCTAAAATGACAACAGCTAAAATGGTCCACGATGACTTAGATGTGAACCTTAAATACAATGAATGAAAAATATCGGGCAGTCAAAGTATGGCGATCGCTGTACAAATGACTCTGTCTGTGATCGCTGTGCGTCAGTTGATCTTTCAATTCAGCATAGAAAAACAGTATCCAAATCGTGTATACTAGATTGAAACCTTTTTCAGCGAAGAAAATTGACTTACTTTTGTCAAATTTAAAGGAAAAGACGCCTGAGAAGCTGCAGTCTTTCCAGCAACGGCACAGGTAAACACAGGCAACTAGCCCCTAGCAACAGTTGCTACCAAAAAGCCTCGCTTTGGTGAAATCCCCGCCATATTTGCAATCGGTCTATGGCCAGAGACCTAAGTAGATTTATAATTTTGTTATAATTAATTTTGAATTAGGTGTGGAAAACTATTAGGGAGGTGGCTATATTTCTCTGTACTTGTTTGATGCGCATTTTAGCAATCAAAAATGCTTTTGGGGATAAATTTCAATGGCAAAAGTACAGCTTCAAGGAGAATGGAAGCTATTTGGACCATAAGCCCCAAAATAAGAGTGGAAATTGGAGTAAAGATACAATTGTAGATCGGCTGACTTTTATCGGCTCTGTTGGCCATAATTATTATGATCTTCAAATGTGATAAAATTTGTTTTTAAGATTGGCTTTTTACTTTTAACACCCTGCTTAATCTTTCATCCAGCTTTAAACAGTGTTTTCTACCCACGGGGTGTGTACTCCCTTTTATGGCAGATATGGGAATGTGCCGCTGGAAGGGGTATATGGTTTTTGTCCTATCTGTCCCAAACAGGGTACATAGTTTCGCGCAAGTTTGTCCTTAACAGGGTATATAAATTCATGTGAGTCCTGTCCTAAACCCGGCATGATTAATTTGATTTGCTAGATGAAATTTGTTTGTTCTCCAAGTACAAAAGCAATGATTAGAATGTAAATTTGCTGCATTGCAATTGCTGATAAATGGATTTAAATGCAGACGGCATGCATTTTGTCCTTTGTCCTAAACAGGGCATGTATTTTAGGATTTTTGTCTTCAAAGAAAAAAAAATCCTAAAATAAAAACAGGGTGAGGGTTTTGAACTACTATACCTAAGTATTGGTACAGAGACCAGCATCCCTTCCCCCACCCCCGCTTGGGGTTTTCTGCAGAATATACACAGTGCGAAAATTATTTTGGACTTTTCCTCACATGGCCTAATGGTATATACATTTTTTTCCTTACAAGCACACAACCTCAGATTCAAATTTCTGTTGAGTAAATATATGTTCTTTTATTTCTTATTTTTCTCTTTAAACTTTTTCTCCTCATTCCTGATTCTCAGTACTGATTTAATTTTTACTCTTGTTCGACCTTTTGATAGGACAGAAGAGAATGGAAAAAGAGACACTCTGTAAAAAGAGGTGTCTCAATATGTATACATTTTAGAGGTGTTCGTGAATCGCGGTTTTCGCTGAGTAGCAGCTGTCAGTGGCAGATCACTGATTTTCAGTTTTCTTGACAATGTGGCCTTCTGAATTCCTCCTACAAGAACCCTAGTAACGAGGCTTCTGGATAACTCTAAAACGGTTCTAGCCGTCCATGAGCCTGTTATCACTTTTTTTGGTATATTGTTAACTGAAAACTTACAGCTTTGCTGCAACTTACCAAGCCGAAGAAACAAACGTAAAGGCAAACTGTTTTAGCTGCTCGTACAGATGAAGAAGAATACCTTGGTACACCTTTGCTTGCTGAAACACCAGAAGCAGTGGCTTCACCATTTACATTCCTTGAAAGATTTGCACCATTCGCTTTCGACTTTTGAAGATACTCAACCATTTCGTCATCTTCGTCGTCCCAAGCGCGGAGAATCTCCGCCATTTCGTCTGAGCTGGCTTGCTGATGCGAACTTCTTGCGCTCCTTTGAACAGTCGACCATCCAGCCATCTTGCAGAATAAAAAATGTGCTTTGCTTCAGTTCACGTTTCCGAAATTCGACGCGGCAGATTAAGAAACAAAATCGCGCTGAATTCCCTTCATCCCAGCTGAATGTTTATAAACAGCGGGATCACTCACTGCGCCGTGCTATCTGTCACCTGGTCAAAAGGGGCTCTCCCTTCCAAGGGTACCTTAGTAGATGGTATCTGAAAAATGAAATAGAAACCGGACGAAAATTACGAATTTTCGGCACTTATGTGGCAGCTGTATTAAAATATCCTTAAATTTATTTTATGTTATTAATTTTTTTCAAATTCTATCCCTGAAAGATAAAATTAGAATACAATGAATATTTCTACCCTCCCCTCCCTATTCTAAGAGCCATCAAACTTTGATCAACAGGAAATCCGCGGGAGATATCCCAGGCTATCTCATATTTCAAAATGGCGGCACTGTCTGTCTCGCAGCTTTCAATGTCATGGCTGGCGCTTTTGTCGTATCTGGATAAATCAGGTTTGAAGAATGGACTGGCCCTTTTAGGTAAGCGATCGACTACTGATGTTATCATCTTTAAAGGGAAAAATTCTTGTCCGGAAGCGGAGTTACTGTTAATCACTGCACCAAGCTGCTATCGTCTCCAGTTGCCCTTGTAAGTCTATCCCCCATTCGGATTCTTGACTGAACAAGCTTATTGAAGTAGACTAGAAATACGTGTCTCGCAAAATCTCGTGAATTCGGTGTGAATAGTGTCACTAGTCTCTTATGCGGTCGTTTTTTGTATGAATAGTGTCACTCAAAGAACAATGGACTCTTGTAAATTCAACTTATTTGAAGTCTACCCAGTTATTAAACCTGGTGGGTAAAAGATAACAGTTCATGCTGTGTATTGTTATTAAAATACCTGCAAATAAGTGGAAGGGTAATCTAAACTAACCAATTTTAAAATTCTGTTTTGCAAGAAGTCTTGACCTATGAATCCTGGGAGGGGGAGGGGACTACTCCCCTATTAAAGTGTCAGGGTTGCTTGTCGGAAAATTTTGAGAACATCCCCTAAAAGGTACGAGAATCTTGTTTCATGAGCTTGTCCCAAATTCATTTCCACCCCTATAAAGAGGTACCAATTCAACAACAACAAATTATATAACTGGCACTGCAAATTTTAATAGTAATAAAGATAACTTTCGAACACTTTCTTCTCAAGGACTTTTTGAAAGTGTTGTCAAAATTCTTTATCTAGCAGCAGTCATTTTAGGTTTTAGCACCCTTCTTGACAAGTAAATTGGGTGTTCCAGAAAAAATCGGTACTTGTACCATGGAAGTTTTATCGTAATTCCGGAGGGGAGGGGTGGTGTAAACAAGCCAGAAACTGTGATCACAGTAAAAAAGAAGGTCAACAAAACACCAAAAGGGCCTATGCCAGACATTGCCTTTACAAAAAATAATATCATAGATTGCCAAATATCACATGGCAGTAATGCCAGGAAAACACGTATTGCAGTCCTTAAAGGTTGAATTAAGTGAGTAGATTCCCGACAAAAAACCTGATTAACTCCCTTAAAAGTCAATTTTTTTTATTTGTATGCTTCTTTTACCATTTTACATTTTTCATGCGGCACAGTCATAAACACCCTGCCAAAGGAGCCTTTTTTTTGCTTACTCAATTTTGCCATTCTTAAGAAAGACTCTGCATAAATCTAGTAAGATCTTTGTTGAGCATGCATTGCATATTGCTAGGATACAACTTTGAACCCAGGCCTAATATCGATGTGCTGGATATAGCAGGCTCTGTTATGAACATGGCATCAAAAAAAAGGATGCACGAATTAAAAAACCTGGTTATTGAACTTGGCTTTCGTATTAATGGCCGAGACAGATAATACCCTCCTCGATCTCCATAATTCTTCATAAGATACTCAGCCTCATTCATTAATTGTTAATTATTTATTTCATTGCTAAATATTTCCACTTGTAGGTTTTCTTTGGGCAGCAAATGTGTCAATCAAATTTGTATTTAATTTTCTGGTGGGGTTAAGGATTCATGTGTTATCTCAACTAACAAAGAGAAAGGACCTTGCTTTAAAATATGGCGGCAAGTGGGCAGGTTAGTTATAAAATCACTTCCGTTAGTTTTAATTTTCCTTGTGCTTTGAGGTTTTGTCAAGGGAGTCCAGCATGAATTGTCTGAAAAAACTAAGATTTTCTAGTTGCCCAAGGACAAAAGTTAGGTTCCAGGGACCACCGGGTGTTGCTAAAGCACAGCCCTGGGAGTCGTCAAATATGTGTATGTGTCTACTGGCCATACCTCATTCCACAGTGCATTTCAGTGATTTTGTTACCTCTGCATCTTGTGCCCCTGACGCATAAAAATCCCCAAAGATGTAAAATGATTCATGACATGCGTCCCATAGGATGCAAAGAATGATTGATATGTTTAAAGGGGTTTTTTGGTAGAATGTCCCGTTCATGTGATTTCTGTGGCTGTTTTTGAAAGATGCTGTTTAGTTTAGTCTTTTTTGTGCTTTAAATATATGTAAAAAGGACTGCATTTTAATTTCAGCAAACTGTGCTAAAGAGTTTTGGCGTGAGTGTCTCTAGATTAACCATCTGGTTACAATACTAAAGGCCCAAGCATTTTCAATTTAGGACTCCTTTTCTTAACTTGGACTCCTTGGTTATGGACAGGGACTCACCATAAGTACTTGTAACAAAATCACTGCCTCTAAAATGAAACAGGCCTTAAGTGACAGTTGAATCTTCTTGCAGATCTGATAAATAAAAAAATTAGTTCCCTTGATACTTGGGTGAGAATTCACACTTCTTCCCTGTGAGCTGTCTTAAAAATTTACCAATATGTTAAGGGGGTCTCAAAATCCACAGTATTAAAGGAAAAAAAAAAAAGGTATTATTAAGATATTATAAAGCCGAACTGACCCATCTACTTGAACATTTTGCAGCACAATTTCCCTCTTGTTCAAATACTTTAATCACATTGTAAAACTGCCACAAAAAGTTAGGATCCCTTTTTTAATGTTGTAGTTAAAATCTGTTCTTAGTTTAAAACAGGATTTCCTTTGTCCTCTACACTGTATGAATAATCAGGGCTATAGAACAAAGAAGTTCTGGATCAAATGTGGTTGGATACTGGTTTTACCCAAGAACAGATTTTATCCACTTCATGTTTGTTAAGACCCAAATCCTGCTTTAGTTGTTACAGGTGCATCTGAAGGAATTGGAAAAGCTTTTGCCTGTGAGGTGATTTTGTAATGCTTAGCTTTGCTTGTTATTAGTTTTTTTTTTATTATCCCCTTAAAAATATCACTAATAGGCCATTTTACAGTTGTGTGCTCAGTGCCCTGACCTTTGAATATTTGTGAGGCTGGTGGTGACCTTGTTTTGTTACAAATTTTCCTGCTTTTAATGTGTGAATCATGGTATTCTAAGCTAACAAGCTCATGAACATGATCATTTGTAACATATGAAAAACAAGAAGGTTTGTGACAAAACAAAGTCACCCCCATCCTCGCTTCTGTTCAAAGGCCAGGACACTGAGGACACAACTGTAAAATGGCTTATAAAATAAATGTAGTAAAATAAATGTAATGTAATTGTGCCATGCCTACAAGTTGAGTAAAAGAATCCACTAGTTCAAACTTAAGTTTGCCAACTGCTGATTCATTTTTCCTCATAATCTCACTCAGTAAAACACATCATATAATACATACCAGAATGGATTTTGAGTATTAGTAAATAACTCTAATCTCATCTGATATGCTTCACCCATACTTTAAATTTAAGTGTGACAAACTATATTATTATGAAAACTAAACGTACAGGTATTAAAT